GAGATCAGGAATCACCCACTCGTTCCGGCCCATGTAACGGAAAACCCAAGGGAATGTTTCCCTCCCTTTGCCAGAAGCAGTGCTGCTTCGGTAGGATTTAGGATGGATCCCCCCCCCCTGCTCAAAAGCTATCAAGTCCAAGAAACCAACGCCGGGCCCCAGGAATCCGATGGTCATCAGGCCGCCTCAGCAGTTCAGGCACCGACAAGACTAAGACTCCCGCGCGCCCAGTGAGGGTATGTGAGGGTAGCTGCAAAAGGACTCTGGTAACCCTAGTACTTGCTTCAGAGGCGTGCGGCGTGGGTGCAACACTTCTGATATCTTGGCATGTGAACTGATTGAGTGTGCCAATATGTCAAGCAACTTCGCTGCGCTTGGCCTATCCAATCTCACATCCTGACGAGCGATCCGGTCAGAACCCGATCTTATTCTTCCTGATCCTCAAGTCCTGGGGCCCAGACTGAACAAAGCACTGGCACCCATCTGTTGCTCTTGACGGTTTGCCAGAAAGGTCCCGAACATCAGAGCAGTCAACAGGGCAGCCTCAGTGGGATGTAGCTTCACAAAAGGATAGCCCGAGTTCTCTGATCTCTTTCGATCCGACTGAGAACTCCCTGGGTGAGGGGTGAGTGGTCAAGCCCTCTCTGTCGAACATCTACCGACTACCATCTGCTCTTTGCACATCGTCGGGCATCCGCCAACACATAAGATCCAGAAAAAGACCAACATACTTCGCAAAAGAAGAAAGCACTTTTGCCGGAGTCCGACAGCCTACGAAGCTGTCTTGCCCGAATACTAGAATTTATAATGTGATCCAGTGCTTCTAATTTAGGGGCTGCGGTTCGGCCTCAGTTGCAGGTGTACAATTGCAAGCCGAGCAAAAGTCGGAGGCTTGCAGAAATACGGGCTGCCTGTCTGAACTGAACCGAGCAGCAAAGGTTGCAGAAAACCATACGATGCAAGTGCTGGTTTCGATCAGCCAAGCGCACTCATCCGCCCACAACTCCTTTCGAGTGCAATGACATTTGCAGCAGACAGAGCGAGTGAGCTAAATGAAGTCTGCCCGAAAGTACCTGTGTACGATAAGATACTGTACCTAGTGTATTTCTGCGATACACGAAGAACGTTCTGGGTTCCATGGGGTCCCCTCCAACTTCCAAACAACTTAGCATGATCCCATAGATGACACAACTCCGATCATCCACACTAAGCTCTCCAAACCTTACAGCCCTTCTAGAAAGACCTCAAAAATAACAACTCCTCTAGATTCTCCGAGTCAAGCTTCAGAAAGAGCTGCCGTGCCCCGGCAGAATACCGATGAACTCACTGATACCATCAACAAGCAAATTTAGAAGAAACAGCTGCCCACGGCCTGGAATTGGTCTTGGTATTCGTCAACGAATGCTGCCTCATGCTGCATGATTGGCATTCCTAGACTCAGACTTCATCAGTCTTCTGCAAACGGCTGAAGCTCCACTTCCACGGAGCAATGCTTCGAACTATTGGCCTGCGATGTAGTCCAAGCCGCCCCAGGGGAATTGCTTACCCAAAATCCTCAACCCCCGATAATACCCGAAGCAGGCCAGCTGCCGGATCGTTCAGCATGCCTTGGCTGTTGCTGATGAACGGGCCTCCCGGGATGCGGCACTCATCCCGGACTCAAGAGGCCGTGTCTTGATCGACTTCATGTCGCATTATGCTGTTTGCCATTGCATGGCATCGGATCAACAACGTCCTGCATACAGACTTTGGACACTCTGCGTCACTGTGCACATGTTAGTAATACAGATAATACTAAAGAACGGAACGACAACAAAGGCTGATACTAGTCTTGCCGCCGAGAATGTATGAAGTTCCATTTGCATTGCAACTCTTGTGCAAGCGCCCCGAACCAGCTGCAATGCGCAATGTGCGGATGCAGGATTGATGAATTACATCTCTGGCAGTGCAGATTCGGCCAACCCACATCTAGGCACCAAGTTCCATCATCCCTGTCCAAACTCGACTAGTGCCGAACATCTGCTCGATTCCCTTGTAAAAGCCCCCCTCCGTTCGAATTTTGATTCTCGGCAGGTTTCCTTCCTTTATAATGCCAGAGAGATTGGTTGCACACGGAGAATGCCCCCGCTGACGAAAGATAGTGTCGAAGCGTGTGTATGTGAGCAAAGTATACATCCACAAGCCCCAACCTTGCAACACCTATCTGCGTAGACATGGTCTATGAGTCTATGAATCTCGCTTCGGCCTGGGTCCGTGTGTCGTCTAGCCTCAGGTCGTCCAGTGATCCTGCGTTTTGGGCTGCTAGGTTTTGGCGACTCGGGATTTCATATGGCGGGTTTCTCATAGCTGAGAAACACCTAGACCAGCCAGAAAACTTGCAGTGTTGCGGTCTTGCACAAGAAAGGAATGCACAAGGCAGTCGTGAAATAGCTAGATATCGGTATGTTTTCGTCCTAGCCTCAGCTCGGCTCTCGCATGGAGCCGAAAGCGTACTCGACTGGCCTACCTGTGATGACGGAGTCCTGCGCAAACATCCGTTTCCGCAGAAAGCTCGAGACTTCGGGGACCCATCATGCACTCTGAAACCTTGACGAGCAAGGCCGGAAAAAAAAAAAAAAAAAAAA